ATGTCGAGATTTCACTCAGGTCGTAGCTATCAGGGCTGTTTTTCCGAACCAAAAATCTCGTGGATTAAACCAGTACCAAGTTAACCATAAAATTCCCCCAAAGAAATAGACCAATTATTTTTGGGGCAGAAAGAGGCTGATCACTGGACAGCCATTTATATTTCTGGCCCCTCAAAAGATGACCTCCTGTACCAGGAACGATGGCGCAACCTGTGAATACAGGGTTTAATGCGTTTGCCAAAGTTCCTATTTGGCCAGAGGCAGAAGTTCAACTCAGATCTGACGATCAAGAGTCTACGTCTTCTGACTTTTGTGGTAATTGGGTGTCTCTTTGAAGAATCCTTGCTTTGGCAAATACAAGTTGCACTAAAAGGGTATTTTCCGATCACAATTGCAGGGAATATCACCGTTCACAATCAGGTTGCTTTTGCACTGTCTAGTGACAGTTCAGGGATCCCAAATCGAACTTGCAAAAATAGCAAACATCCGAATTCGGGAATAAACAACAAAAACCTGCCAATTACCACAAAATTATCAGCCGCTTAAATTGAGGAGACAGAAAAAAGAGGAGGGAATTATTCGAAGTGCTGTAACTTCGCTTTCTAGCTGTAAGTTCAACTTCGAAGCTGACTCATCCTCTCTTTTTTCTACACTCCCCTCTGATTTGAACTGGCTGTTGTTCAAATCGTCAAGTTACACGACCTGATATGAAAGGAGCTCAATGTGGGGCTATAATCGTCCCCCTTGATTCGCACGGGAAGGAATTTTTCGCGTGCGAAAAATTCCTTTCTCGATTGCCCATCATAAAGGACACTGATGGTACAGCGGTCGTGCAACAAGTAAGTTCGAACTTGAAAGGTCTCCTTTACATCGTAACAGTATACGCACAAAGTTTAACTCCTTCATCTCTTAAATAGAAATTGCATAGGAGAAGACCTTTCAAACTCGAAGCTTCAAGGTGTGAACATGGTACAATAAAATTACACACATAATTCACACATTATTGTCTCTTTCACTGGGTTCCAGCATTGCTGTAGAGGATCTCCAGCTCCTCTTCGGCC